AATCACGTCTATATTCTCATCGTATGTAGAAGATATATCTCTTGAAGATCACCTAGCTATTTTGAAGGAAATCGTCACTGATTTGGAGACCTTTGAGGTCAAATATGATTAAGAGGATTTGAGATTAATTTTATTGTATTTACTGCCAGGTCCACATATGTCTTTTAGTGACACAATTTTATATAGTTGTAATACTATCACTATCGAAAAAGTCTATGATGCTCTATATTCAAAGGAGAAGATGAAGCATTTTATTGCATCTGAAATTCATGGAGATGACCTCATTATTGATGGTGATCATGCAAGAGGCAAGTCAAAATCTAACTTCAAATTTTGTAATTATTGTAAGAAAAATGGGCACTTGATAAATAATTGGTATAAGTTGTAGAATAAAACAAAATTGACTATAAATTAACAATCAGAAACTTTAGGAGAAGTAAGTATTGTAGAAAATTTTAACACTGATGGAAAGCTTTTATTTATGTTTAACTATAACTCCAAACTTGATGAGACTTGAATTTTTGATATAGCTTCCACTTTTAATGTGTCCCAATTGGGATTTATTGTCAACATATGAAGAAGTTTCAAAATGTGTTGTGATGACCGATAATAATATACTAACTCCAAACTTGATGAGACTATAATTTTTTATACATAGAGCACTTTTTATATGTGTCCCAATCGGGATTTGTTGTCAACATATGATGAAGTTTTAAAATGTGTTGTAATGACCAACAGTAATATACTTTATCGGATATTTGGTATTGATTGGGTCAAAATAAAGATGTTTGATGGGATAGTTAGAGCACTTGATATAGTGAGACACATCCCAAATCTGAAGAGAAATCTTATCTCCCTAAGTATTCTTGATTAAAAAAGGTATAGGTGCACTACTGTAGGTGGAGTCTTGAAAGTTAGTAAAGCGCTTGTGTTTTGTTAAAGGGACATAAAAAATCTCATTTATGTATCTTGCAGTGTTATACAGAATCTTTGATCAATCATTATATTTTAAGAACTCATGTGAATTTGGAGTTGGATTCTATAACGTTGGAGTCTAATTGGAGGTCTTCTTTAAAGAATATATCTTAGCTAAACGTAGAAGTTATAGATAAATCCTCATTGCCACTATTATCGTTGGTGTCATTGCATTTAGTTGTTAGTAATATATCCATTTTGACCATAAGACTCCATGTGCGTACAATTCTGACAAGATCTTTCTTTTGATGCATTCAGTTATAATTCTATTACAGGGCTTGTTTTAACCTTATTTGATGATTATTAGGCCCTATTTCAGTAATTCTTTGGAAAAAAAAATACATTTCTAAACAGTAATTTGACATTATTTCAACTACAAATTCTTCAATAAAATAAAATTATACACAAATTTAAACTTTTCCTTACATTTAACCACACATTTTTTTTTTCAATACACTATTCAAAAACACATTTTTATGAAAATAATGTGACTCAAACCAAGGGCTTAGATTACTTTTACCCCTAGTTGGGGTGGTAGAGGTAAAAAAATATTTTTAGTTAGAAAATTTTAATGGAGAATTTCATTAGTGTGTGTGTGTGTGTGTGTGTTTTTTTTTTTTTTTTTAAATTTATTCATAGTAGTGGAATTTGTCTCCAAGTATAGAATCTCTAAATTTTGTTCATTATAGGGAAATTTAGGTCAAGGTGGAATTTGTTAGAATTAAGATGTGACCTGCATTCTATTTAAAATGATATTTGGGATATATATTCGAAATTTATTTGACAAATTCTAGTTGAAGTTCTTTTTATAAGCCTAATTGAGAATTGAAATTTGTGTTAGACTTGAATAGATCAGATTATGGATCAAGGAGAAAAATCGTCGCAATTTTGCTAATTGATCGTTAGCTTTGAGCCCGATCGGTGTCATTAAAATGTTAGCAGAGTCTTGGCGACCACTAGGTGCTTGAGCGGCAAAGCTACTTCTCGCTTGATGCTCGAGAGGTGTAGTTATACGGCCCAAACCAGTTTTCCATTTTCACTCATCTTAAACATTCCTTTTCATCTATAATTCCATTTGTGATCCTTATTTCATATTGTGCCTATAATTTCATGTTTTATCCAACAAATTGATATTGGATTAATCCGATTCCAGTTTTCCGCACAACATCTCGAAAGAATTTTCACTTTCTAATTTTTTTAGCCCATAAGTGTGACATCTAATGGAAGTCAACAATATATAATTATGTACATTCATTTATGATACTAGTCGTAAAACACGACACATATCGAGCAAATAACTTCATTAGGTTTCTTCAATTATCGATTATTTATGTTTTATTTTGCCTAATTTAGGGAAGCATCCTATTAACTTACAGAACTAATTCTAAACAGATATCGTGTTAAATTCAATGGTCAATTAATTATAAAATTGCTAATATGAATGTCATCGGATCCCTTTGTTGTTTCATTTTTTATTTTACACCTTTTCCTCGAAATGAGAAAAAATATGGTGCACTTGAATTGTAGTATTTAATTAAAGACGAACGCATATGAAGTCTAACTTAATTATTTGTAACTTCATATAAACAACATTATTTAAATAGTGAATTAACAATATAAATTTCAAGGATAGAATAAAATAAACTTAAAAAAAATAAAAAAATAACAAACATTAGGCAAATAAACGAATTAATGTCGCATTAGTTAAAAAGTAAAATTGTATTTATGATTTCCTTAGTAAACGAGCAATTAAAGACACTAATTTCAGATTTCAGTACGAAGTGGTTTCTAAACTTATTAAGAATTAATCTGTAAGTACAATTTTTTTTAAACAGAATTAGTACAGAAAAATAATTATTTTCTTGTAATTTGCTGTTGCCAAAAACTGTTTTTGACAATAGTTAATTACAAGAAGACAATTGTCTTTCTGTATCAATTTTGTAGAAAAAATTATGTACTTATAGCATTGCTCAATTATTAATCAACCCATGGAATCCTTGTCCAATATTGACTTTACCCATAGAATTCAATCCCTTCTGGGAAAGGATTGATTTTTCAAATAAGTTTAAGTTTTATTTATTTATTTATTATTATTATTTTTTTTTTATAAATTAGTAATCGACTCTATATAGGATGGTAAAATTTCTCGTTCTTGAAATGTCCAGCGTGATAAACGGGACGAGGGCATATGATCCTTGCCTCGAATGCTCCTAACGCATTTCAGATCTTTTTATTTTATTATTTTGATGTTTCAATTTAAATTGTATATTAAAAATTAAATAAAAGGAAAATAAATTAAATGGGGTGAGTAATGGTGATATTTTTCTCTTTCCTTTGTCGTCCTTTATTATGTATTATATTTTGGGAAGGAAAAATTTCATATCTAAGAAATTAAGTGTGACCCATTTCAAAATTAAGAAATGAGATTTAAAATTTCAAAAATAAGTATTAATTAAATTTTATTTATGAAATAATTAATTAAATATATATTTTATTAACTAAATATATCAAGATCATAATTCTATACACTTTGGTTACAAATTATTGAATTAATTGGTTACAAATTATTTTTCGGTCACAAATCAAATATTTTATACATCAAAATTTATTTATCGATCACAAATCACAAATTTTATTAGCCACAACTTATTTAACGATCATAAATTATCAAACTATTTGGTCACAATTTATAGTTTGACCCCAACTTGATAAATTGTGAGTAACAATTACAATTTTTAAGTTACATATTATTTATCACAATTAACCAAATAATTAGTTACAAAATTTGTTCGATTTCTGAGATATGGAATTGGACTCCTTGTAGGCGCAGTGTACATGCAGCTCTTGTTCCTTGGCCTGCTGAGACACATCCCGCAATTTACCTCCCTCACAAAGCTCTAAGGGTGGGACGGTGGGGCTCTCAAGGTTGGAATTCAACCTTTAATTAGTCACATACGCTCCCACCCACCCCATCCCCTCCCATCACCATCACCATCACCATCACGTCACTGCACCACCACCAACACTCCAAATATCACCACCTCGCCAACATCACTACCACAAGCAAACACCACCGCCGCACCGAACCGCAATGCAAACCACCACCTTGCCAACATCACCACCAGCTGCAAACACAACCATTGCACTCCAGACTACCATCATTGCAATTGCAAAACCAAGACAACATCATCACCATTGCCACAGTACCACCACTGAACCGTCAATCACCTCACCACTCAAAAATGAAAAGAAGAATAAGAATGCGAAGAAGAAGAAGAAGAAGAACGGATTTGCATCGTGTACGATGCAGCGGCACCTAGCACAAAGGAGTGCTGCTACTATGCCGTGATGAGTCGTTGGATTGAGTGCCTTGAAGAGTCGTCGAAGTGGGTTCATCACGAGGAGGTGCCAGAGTGGGTTTGTCACAAGGCGCCGGAGTGCATGAAATGAAGCAGCGGGGTGATTGATTCTTTTTTTTTTTTTTTTCTCTAAATGAACTAGGGTTTCTGGGGTGGGTAGGGTGGAGGTGGGAAAATAATTTAATTTAATAATATTATTATTGATATAAAAAATTGAATTATCATCTAAATTTGAAAAAAAAAATTGATTTTTGAATTGATAATTTAAAAACCATGGTTGTAATTTCCAGGTTTGGAAATTAATTGTGTGTAAATATAGAGACCCATGCATCTTATAATTTAATACTCAAGAATGCATCATAAGATCGATATTAAAGTGATTCAATCAATAGCGCGTGAACTGCATCAAACACATCGCCAAGTTCCACTTTAGTTAAATAATTTAATGTTTAATGTAAGTTTTTAATAGTCACACACTTGATTAATCCGTTGTGTGATTGACATGTTGATCCATGATCGTTTGATTATTATATATTGAAATTAGTACTTGATCGGTTATCATATTAATCAAAACCATAAGAAAGCATGCAAAAAATATTACATAAGAAATCTGTTGAAAACGATAACTTAACCCATTAGAGAGCAACACGGCTTCAAAACGAATCATCAAAGCAAAATTAGCTAAAATTTTACCCATAAGACATTAAAACATGTCCATAGTGAAAAAGATTTAAAAAGTACATAGGTTTGAGATACATAAACATTCCAGAAAATTAAAAGAAGTGGCGGAATTAAAAACCCTAGTCATATTTTTGTTCTTCTTCCTCTGGCCTGAAGAACACTTTAGAAGTGCGACTAGACAAGGAGGCGGTTACGTAGTTGCTATCTTCAAATTTTTTAGGTCAAAAGATAGTGATAGGAAGCTGGGAAATTTTGTTACATAGAAGCCGGTGGTGTTGGATTCATAAAATTTGGCACTGTTGGATTAGGAAAAGGAATATTCGGATAAGGGTTGTTTTGAACGGAGGGATAGGTACTATTTTGAGGCAAATTGGGTGCAGAATGAGGATTAACATTTTGAGTTTCGACTGCGAAATTCGGGGAATTAACAGGAGGGTTTACTGGATTATAAGCACAGTGGACATGCATATCAAAGTCACATTTAGAACAACAATAAGAAAAGCCATTTCCTGCGAGATTGCATGAATTGCAGAAAAATGAATTAGAGGGATATGTTGGAAAAGGCACTAAAGTTAAGGGATGCAGAGGATGAGAAGGGTGCTTCATCGAGCGAGTTGCTCGAAAACATTGCTCGTGGAGGAAGTAACGGCACTGCCAACACGCGTAAATCGAGCCAGACCCTGGAGTTTTGCAACAGGAAAAATGGATTTCAGTGCCTTGTGGCAGCTGGTGAAAAACTAGCCCATCGTTGTGGCTAAAATGCTTGTTCTCCATGTCTCTCTCTAGCTTGGAGTGTCCCAGATGAATTTTCTTGATGGGATTTAATAGCTAATAAACGAATTAATTTATTGCAAATAGGCATGCAAGTTGAAGGATAATTAATGTGGATTCGGGGATGCAACTTAGATTCTTCACTCGGTGTGTTTTGAATTTGTCAATTGCATTATTAACGTTGACTTGTAATTTTGGCGTTAACTAATGTATAAATATATCATTCGTTTATCCACAATATCGTCTAGTTTGATTCTTGCTCGTGGTGCATGTGATGTTGCGGAATGTTTTGACTTTGCTCCGCCTTCCCATGTCAATGAAAGGACTTAGGAGGATAATTTTGTTATTTTATTTTTTTGTTAAATTGCACTTTAGTTTCAAACTTAATAGTACCATAAAAACTTTGTTCTCAACTTATATTTTAATGACTTCCGTACCTAGAATTTTAATTTTATACCACGTTAGGTTGTAGTGGATTTAAACGATCAACTTCGATGTGAAAAGGTCGAATTTTTTGAGAACTACCATTGTGTTCTCTTTTAAAGAATATAAGTTAAGCAATTAAAAAAAATAACTTAAAAAAAGGGAAAGCAAAGAAGAAACAAACAGATGGCGTAGGGGCTGGGGCATAATCAGTTGGAGAAGTTTGAAGGTGGCAAACTATTAGAAATAAACGAAAAAACGTGGATTTTATTCACTGCATTTCTACTTGATACAAGAGGTCTATATATATATACAATAAATAGGCGGCAAACAGAAGAAAAATGTGATCATCTGTTACAACTGACTCCTAGCTAGACAAACTAATTGTTAACTAATTAATATACAAAGAATCGAATATTTTAATACTCCCCCTCAAAATGTGCCATAAATGTCCTTTACACACATATTCGATAATAAGGGATTAAGAGTTGAAGCAGGCAATGGTTTGTTAAAAACATCTGCAAGTAGATGACGAGAACGAATGGGTAGAAGCTTTATAATCCCAGCTGTAATTTTATCACGGATAAAGTGGTAATCAATTTCGATGTGCTTTGTTCGTTCGTGGAAAGCTAGATTAGTTGCGATTTGTATAGCGGCCTTATTATCATAATATAGATTGGCAACGGTTGTTCCATTGATTTGGAAGTCCTTCAACAGCTGATTGATCCAAATCACTTCACTAACCGTGGAGGCAAGGGCTCTGTACTTTGCCTCAACTGAAGAACGGGAAATAGTGGGCTGTCTTTTTGATTTCCATGAAACTAGTGAGTCACCAATGAAAATACAAAAACCAGTGGTGGATTTTCGTGTGTCAATGCATGAACCCCAGTCTGCACCCGAAAATGCACGAAGGCTGAGAGGAGCTGCAGAAACTTTTCATGATGGAAAGAGAAGACCTTGTCTAGGACTCTCTTTTAAGTACCGTAGGAGATGATGAACAACTTTAAGATGTGGTCGTCTTGGTTGAGACATGAATTGACTCAGTTTATGCACCGCAAAAGTAATGTCAAGACGTGAAAAAGTTAGGCATATAAGTCCTCCAATCAATTTCCTGTGGTGAGATGCATCTGGCAGTAGTTCACCTTCTTGGATAGTAAGTGCTGCCTTGAGTTCTATAGGGTTGTTTGTAGGTTTGCAATCCAGATAACTAGAATCTTCAAGTAGTTGCAATGTATATTGCCACTGTGAAATCACAATACCTGATGATGACCGACAATCTCTATCCCCAAGAAATTCTTCAAGCATCCAAAATCTTTGAGTTTAAATTGAGAGTGCAGGAACAATTTTAATGAGTTGATGACTTGGATGTTAGGGCCTGTGATGACAATGTCGTCCACGTATACCAATAAAGCCACAAAGTTGCAGTCAGATCCTTTAGTGAAAAGTGAATAGTTTGCTTTAGACTGAGTGAAACCATATTGGATGAGAGCATGTGTGAACTTCCAATTCCAATGTCTAGAGGCTTGCTTAAGCCCATATATAGACTTGTGTAGTTTGTAAACCATCTTCTCCCCCTGTCCAAGTGATTTATAGGTTTCATAGCCAGGAGGAAGTTCTATATAGACTTTCTCAAACAAGTCACCGTTGAGAAATGCATTGTTGACATCTAATTGCACCAAATGCCATTGATGGTATGCTGCAAGAGTGAGTAAAAATTTGACAGTAACATTCTTTGCTACAGGAGAAAAGGTATTGAGGTAGTCCAATCCTTCTTGCTGTGTATACACCTTCACAACAAGGCGAGCTTTGTACATCTCGAGGGATCCATATGAGTTGAATTTGTTTTTGTATACCCACTTACATCCAATAAAGTATTTCCCACGAGGTAAAGGTACAACAGTCCATGTGTGGTTAAGCTCCATGGCTTCCAATTCCGATCTCATGGCATCAAGCCATTGAGGGATTTTAACAGCTTGATGGAAAAATTAAGGTTCGAAGTGGGATGAGATGTTGAGAATAAAATGTTTATGCAATTTGGATAAGTGATTATATGAGACTAACTTGTGAATGGGGTGATCAGTTTGTGAAATTAAATTGCAATGATAGTCAACAAGATATTTTGGTGGTTTAGAGATTTTGTGAGATTTTCGAATGGTAGGGCGATCATGCACGAGAGGGAGTGATTGTTCAAGGTGAATGTGGTTTGCTGGAGTTGTGGAAGATGATGAAGGAGTGGTAGAATCAAGTGAAACATGTTTTGAATGGGCAAGTGATTCAACAGGAACAAATGATGAGGCATTCGGTAGCACCAAATCAGGAAAGGGGTCTATTATTTCATCAGTTTCCACTATGGTATGAAAAGGGAAGATTTCTTCATGGAACACAACATCCCTGGCGATAAAAATCTATTTTGTAGACACATCAAGTAGCTTATATCCCTTCATCCCTGATGGATACCCCAAGAATATGCAAAGTCTTGCCCTTGGTTGAAATTTGGTCCTGTGTGCAGCAAGTGTTGATGCGAAACCCAAGCATCCAAACACCCGAATCATGGAATAATCTGGAAGCTGACCGTGTGATACTTCATGGGAGGTTTTATGTTGCAAAATTGGGGCTAGAGTTCTATTGATTAGGAATGCTGCTGTCATTACACATTCGGACTAGAATTTTATAGGGATTCTTGACTGGAAAAATAAAGCACGAGCTACATTTAAAAGATGTTGATGTTTTCGTTCCACCACGGAGTTTTGTTGTGGCCTTTCCACACAACTAAATTGGTGTAGCACCCCATTTTTAGCAAAGAATTCGTGGAAGGATAATTCATGTGCATTATCTGATCTGAAACATTTGATGTTAGCATTATATTGTGTGGCTATCATGCAAAAGACGATGGACAACCTTTACAGCATCAAATTTCTGTCTTAACATATATATCCAGGTGAATTTGGAACAATCATCTACAAGTGTCAAAAAATACCGGTATCCCGAGTGAGACGGGACATGATAAGGCCCCCATATGTCACAATGTAGGAGATCAAAGGGTTACCTGGATAAATTGTTATTGGATTCAAACGACAATCTTCTTTGCTTCGCAATAGGACAAATGTAACATGGAAGATGTTTATTTATTTTCGAAATATCACAAGTGATATGCTCCTTCAAGGCTTCTAATCTCTTAAATGATAAATGGCCAAGTCTATTGTGCCATATGTGAGCTAAAACTTTTTCAACAAATACATTAGAAACTGAATTGAAAAATCTTGTGTCAAGTACATATAGATCTTGTACTTTATCACCCCTGCCAATCATCCTCTTGGTCGTAACCTCCTGGATTATGAACTGGTCATGAAAGAAACTTAAGGTGAGTTTTGATCTAGCAGTTAAAGCACTGACTGATAATAGGTTGAATTTGAGTTGCGATACAAAAAACACATCATGTAGCACCAAGGTAAAACTCAGTTTGACATCTCCACAAAGATTGACCGGTATTTGTACATGGTTTGGCAAAGTGATGCTGGCATTTTTAATAGTTGTCATTGCCATGAATGCATCAACACTCTAGCACACGTGTTTAGTGGCCCGTAAATCCACTATCCAAACTTTAGTAGCAAAAAATGAATGCAGTGAAATAGAATGACATATACCTACCGAGCATGGGGAGTTATGTTTCTCCTGATCGACTGAAATGTTGTTCGAGCTTGAAGCCAAATGGTTGGACAGCATTGTCATTAATTGTTGGTATTAGTTTGAGTTCAGGTTCTTGACAAAATTATCCATGCTTGGTGGTTGATCCAACTGACTTGTCAACTGATTGACCGGATTAGTAATAGGCTAATTCTAGAAATTCTCTCTTGACTTTGTTCTATAACCAGGTGGGTATCCATGGATCTTATAGCATTTGTCAATCAAATGTCCAGAGAGTTTGCAATGTGTACAGTAGGGCCTCTCATTTTTTCTGATATTCATCAGATTGGCAGGTTTGGGACTGTCATCAGGAAACCCAGTATTTCTCGTCGACTTTGCAATGTCAGATTTTAGGGCAAAAGTTGCTGCACCATTCGCATCACTTCCAAATGGTCGTGTGTTTAATCTCCTTTGATTTTCTTCCTGAGTGATCAACGCAAATACTTTGTTGATGGGAGGTAAGGGATCCATCAATAGTATTTATCCCCTAGCCTGTGAGAATGATTCGTGTAGACCCATAAGAAAGCTCATGATATACTCCATTTGAAAGTATTTGTTCATTTCCTTAACTCCTCCACAAGTGCATTTCCCACAATTGCAATTGGGTCGAAAATTGCTTAACTCCTCCCACAATGTTTTGAGTATAGTGAAATAAACACTTACACTGTTTTGATCTTGGTTCAAATTTATCAGATCCTTCCTCAATTGGAAAATTCTCGGTCCATTGCTTTGTTGAAACCTCTCTTTGAGGTCGTTCCAGATTTCACACGTTGTGGTTGCATAAATTATACTTGCTGAAATCTCCTTTGAGACAAAATTGAGAATCCAGAATATGACTATATTATTGTTCCGAATCCAAGCATATTCAGATCCGGATCTGTGGATTCTGGTTCCTTCATAGAACCATCA